GCAAGTCTTAAAGCTCTCAAGTTTGAACACCCCTGGAGGTTTTTTTTTCTAAAGGGTTAGGGGTGCAAGGGTCTTGTAACTTGACAGCTTTAAGACTTGCCTGCTTCAAATGCCAGAGTTTCTGAGCCAACATTTTGGTTGCTAAGCAAGAACGTTGGTAAGTGAGCTTCACCACATTTTCCAAGTTGGCCACGCCTACCCAGTCACATGGCTGGCAAGCCTCTCCTACCCAGTCAAATGGCCAGCAAGCCATTCCCACAAATCAGGCCACACCTACAGAAGAGGTTCTAAAAAATTTTGCAACCCACCAGCTGCAGGAAGGATCTCTCTCTTTTTTTTAATCTCAGAAATTATATTCCACTTGAGATCCTTGTAAGAAAAATACTGTACGTGCTACAAAATTGATTTGGGAGAAGTACTTCAAAGCTAAAGGGAGCTACTATTCATTAAAACGCCACCATTTTTTCAGACTTGAGTGGAAGTCTGAAAAAAAATTAGGTTCATTGAACGACTAGCACAAAGATGCTTCTCTCTACAACAAGAGCACTTAAGACTTATGTACTGCTTTACAGTGCTTTACAGCCCTCTCTAAATGGTTTACAGAGTGAGCAAAGATGCTTCCCTCTATAACAAGAGCACTTAGACTTACATACCGCTTCACAGTGCTTTTATAGCCCTCTCTAAGCGGTTTTACGGAGTCAGCCTCTTGCCCCCAACAATCTGGGTACTCGTTTTACCCATCTCGGAAGGATGGAAGGCTGAGTCAACCTTGAGCCTGGTGAGATTTGAACTGCAAAATTGCATTTAGCCAGCAGTCAGCAGATGTAGCCTGCAGTACTGCAGTCTAACCATTGCGCCACCAAGGCTCATACCCTATAATATCTCATCTGAATCATTTTCAAAGCACACACAGATCTAGTAGACATTAAACTGCAGTCCTATCCCACCATCACCCTCTCAGCATACACAGCATCTCTGGGCCATCGCCACCTTCTGCTTTATGTGTCGCTTCAAACATTAGCCAAAGACCTCTGTGTTCCTTCTGAATGACTGCAAATTCCACAATCTATTGTCACCAGCCACATTGATGGAGTTGAAGACATCCCATGTGGATTGTTTATCCTAGTCTTGTGAACGTGGGCATTATATACAAGGGATTATCGTTCGCTGCGCCAGACATTGTGGATACAGTTAAAACTAACCATGAATCTAGCTTGCACCTTTATACCTTCAGGCGTTATAAACATTTCCTGCCTAAGCAAGGGGGTTGGACTAGAAGACCTCCAAGGCTCCTTCCAACTCTGTGATTCTGTTATTTAAGGAGCTAATTTTGAAAATCAGAAACGTGGTTTCATTGTTTAAGAACGTACCTCTGGATCTAGGTCATCAAGGACATTCTCTAGCTGTTTTAGTTCATCCTCAGAGAGTTTGTTCAGAATTTCATCTTCATTGATGTTTTTGTATTTCTCCAACTCTTTCCGGAATGGCACTGACATGTCTCTCAATCACGTCGTTTGACGTTTACCTGTCAATCATTCACAAGACACTCTTCCGGATCCCTGGAAGAAAGAGAGATGGTCAGTTCTCTCTGATAATTTACAAACCTTGCAGAAACGGCTCATTGGTGATGTTGTACATTATATGTTTTATAATACAAATATAAACGCTAATCTTAATATCTGCTTGGTTCTTTCAACTACTAAAAGTACATCACATATATTAAGGTAAAGGTTTCCCTTGCACGTATGTGCTAGTCATTCCCGACTCTAGGGGGCGGTGCTCATCTTCACTTCAAAGCCGAAGAGCCAGAGCTGTCCGAAGACGTCTCTGTGGTCATGTGGCTGGCATGACTAAACGCCAAAGGTGCATGGAGCACTGTTACCTTCCCACCAAAGGTGGTTCCTATTTTTCTACTTGCATTTTTATGTTCTTTCGAACTGCTAGGTTGGCAGAAGCTGGGAGAAGTAATGGGAGCTCACTCCGTTACGCGGTGCTAGGGATTCGAACCGCCAAACTGCCAAGCTTTCTGATCNTCTGAATGTAGAACAAGAAGCAATGGGTGGAAACTAATCAAGGAGAGAAGCAACTTAGAACTGAGGAGAAATTTCCTGACAGTTAGAACAGTTAATCAGTGGAACAGCTTGCCTCCAGAAGTTGTGAATGCCCCAACACTGGAAATCTTTAAGGAGATGTTGGATAGCCATTTGTCTGAAGCAGTATAGGCTTTCCTGTTGAGCAAGGGGCTGGACTAGAAGACCTCCAAGGTCCCTTCCAACTCTGCTATTGTATTGTATTCTATTGATATGTGCCTTTTGCTAAATTCAATGGAATATATCTTGTTCCCCAACACAGCCAAAGCTTCTTACCAACTTCAGCGGAAATGCAAATAAATGTCTATGCTTAATACTCATTAGGGCTGATGATAGATAGACAGACAGACAGACAGAAAACCACAACAAAACATATTTGGAATTTTAAAACACCCAAAACACCCACACCATTTCCTTTTGTAGAAGTGATATTTCTCAAATCCGTGCCTACCATTTTCTGATCGGTGCCATTAAATCATTTAGCAACTAATTACTACATGCTGTTGGGATGAGTTAATTCAGGGTGGAGTTTCCTGTTGTAGTTCTCTTTTCCGTGGAAAGAGACAAAGAAAGTTCCCATTTAACGCTTGAGTGAGAGAATCCTGTACATCAGCCTTCTTCAACCAGATACTTTGCAAGTGGACTGATACTACAAGTCCCCCAAATTCCTAGCCTTTGGCTAGGGATAACATCCTTTTCCTGAATGAGAACTGTGAAAGTGGAAGGGAAAAAAAATGGATCAGAAAAACATGAGTCCTAACATTAAAAGTTACCGAAATACCTTAAGAAGCCAACTGGCAAATGTATTAAATCCTAGCGAGCCAATATGGACAGAGGCCTTGGGAGTCATGGATTCCAAGCCTGATACTGAATCCGGGAAACAAGGACAGAAAAAGATTTTCACCAAGGTAGTCCACGAGCAAATTGTAAAACCAGCAACTTGTTCCACTTGTGCCTTTTCTTTTTTGGGGGGGGTATCGATTTTTGTTCTTAAATGATTTTAACAATTGTGAACTGCCCGGAGTTGCTGGAAAACAGGTGACATATAAACTTAATTATTACATAACTTTTCATATCAAATGCGATTATACAATGGTAATAATTTAGAGTAAAGAGAAGGTGTTTGCACAAATTGCATATTTAAACCCTTGCAATTTGCATAGATGTTTGTGTGCCGTGTTGGGCGTGGTGGTGGTGGTGGGCACCAACATAACCACAGACTCTCCCTTTCTTTATCCTTCACAGTCGGGGACATACCTTTCTTTTCTCCAGTGAAAGGTACAATATCTTGTCGGTCTTGGAGCTCCAAGGCTTGCTTCTCCAAGTAGGACAACAGCCGTTCTCGATCGAAAGGCCCCGTGGCAGGTTTGCTGGTCTGATCTTTCTGTCGAAAGCCAGCTGGTAGAAGGGCATTCTGCCACAGCCGAGCGTGAGAAACGAAAGGAATTATTCAGTCAGGAGGAGTTGAACATTTCCACAACTTCTTTTAATGTGAAATCTACCTCTTACGCACGTCTGCTTCAGAGCAAACAGAATTGAAAAAGGATACAGATAGTCGTCCTTTTTTTAATGACCCCCATAATCCCTTGCGGGGTGGAGTCTGGGCAACTGAATGGAGCTAACAATATTTACTGGCCAGATGCCCTTCCCATCCCCAGGGCGGAGTTTTGTTCAGCACCTATATTCTCATTGTGCCCAGAGAGAGAAATATCTGCCTCTACCTAGGATCGAACTCACAGCCTCCTGATTGTGAGGCGAGAGCACCACCTCTAGGCCCCCACACCACCCAAAAAGCATAAAGATAATCCTCAACTCAAAACATTTGTTTAGCGACCCTTCAAACTTACCAGGGCACTCAAAAAAGTGATTTACAACCTGTCCTTGCATTTACAACCATTGCCAGCATCCCCTACCTAACTCAACATATAGTCACACAAAGGGCAGCTCAGGTGGTTCGTGCCAGTTCTAACCTCTTCTATAGAAGAGGTTCCACAAATCTACAGTGCCGTTTAGAACCGGTTCCAGCTCCCTCCCCCCCCGTCCGTCCGCACATCATCAAGATGAAGAGCGAGAGGAGGAATTCTGGGAGTTGAAGTCCACAAGTCTTAAAGCTGTCAAGTTTGAACACCCCTGGGGTTTTTTTTCTAAAGGGTTAGGGGTGCGAGGGTCTTGTAACTTGACAGCTTTAAGACTTGTGTGCTTCAAATGCCAGAGTTCCTGAGCCAACATGACTGAAGGTGGAATTCTGAGAGTTGAAGTCCACAAGTCTTAAAGCTGTCAACTTTGAACACCCCTGGGGTTTTTTTTCTAAAGGGATAGGGGTGCGAGGGTCTTCTAACTTGACAGCTTTAAGACAGCTTGTGTGCTTCAAATGCCAGAGTTCCTGAGCCAACACGCCTGGAGGAGAAATTCTGGGAGTTGAAGTCCACAAGTCTTAAAGCTGTTAAGTTTGAACACCCTTGGGGTTTTTTTCCTAAAGGGTTAGGGGTGTGAGGGTCTTGTAACTTGACAGCTTTAAGACTTGTGTGCTTCAAATGCCAGAGTTCCTGAGCCAACATGCCTGGAGGAGAAATT